CCCATGTAGCTGGGACTACAGGCGCCCACCACAATGCCTGGCTATTTTTAGAGACAAGGTCTCACTCTGGCTCAGGCTGGTCTTGAACTGGTGAGCTTAGGCAATCCACCCACTTCAGCCTCCCAGAATGCTAAGATTACAGGTGTGAACCACCGCACTTGGTGGATTTGTTTTTGCTTCTTTGAGATAAAGTCTCACTCTGTTGCCTGGGCTAGAACGCAGTGGCATCATCATAGTTCACTATAACGTCAAACTCCTAGGCTCAAGTGATCCTCTTGCCTCAGCCTCCCAAATAGCTGGGACTACAAGCACATACCACCAGGTTGTAGAGGCAGAAGTCTCACTGTGTTCCTCTGGCTGATCTCAAACTCCTGGCTTCAAGCAATCTTCCCACCTTAACCTATCAAAGTGCTAGAATTACAGGTGTGGGCCCACTGCACCCAGCCTCCCCAGCGTTTTAAAAAAGAAAAAACATTTTTTTAAATCTCCTTTCAGTTTGCGATATTACTCGTAGAAAGAAGAGAGGAGAGGGATGATGAAACATAAGAATGTAGTCATCATGGAAGACCTAGAGAGAGAGTATATTAGAGAATTTGAGTTGTAAGTAATATCTTGGTACTTGTATTTCAGAAAACAGGCCAGGCGCAATAGCTCATACCTATAATCCCAGCACTCTGGAAGGTTGAGGCAGGTGGATTGCGTGAGCTCACAAGTTCAAGACCAGACTGAGCCAGAGTAAGACCTTGTCTCTAAAAATAGGCGGGCGTTGTGGGGGGCGCCTGTGGTCTGAGCTAGAGCAAGATGCCGTCTCTTAAAAAAAAAAATAGTGGGGCATTGTGGAGGGCACCTATAGTCCCAGGTACTTGGGAGGCTGAGGCAGAAGGATCACTTGAGCCCAAGAGTTTGAGGTTGCTGTGAGCTAAAGATGCCACACCACTGTACCAAGGGTGACTAAGTGAGACTCTATCTCAAAAAAAAAAAAAAAAATTCAGAAAACACTACAACTGCCTTCCCTTCCCCATTGGGAATCCTGCAAACTTCAGAGAGGCAATAATGTTAGGCTTAGAGAGCTATCAAAATCTATTTGCTGGGGACCCTTGCTGTCTGGATGTCTCTTGGTGAATCTGCACAAGACTGGGCTTTCTACTTCCCCTGAGACAACTTAAGTAACAGCTGTTTTGTTTGCATTTGCACCAGCAGAAACAAGAAAAGACATCTGACCGATCATCAATGCTGGAGGTAGAGAAACGGGTATGAGCATATCTCTTTCCCTCCTGTTTCATCTCTTCTGTCTGACTTTCTCTAACTTTGTTGTTTATACCAATGAAAAAAAGTTCATCTTATGAAAGCAAGAGTTCTGACACATTCCATTCCCAGCTTGATGATAAATTCTTTTTGTCTGACTCTGGACAGTAATTTGATTGCTAGTCCTCTGGGCTTCCTCAGATGGTCAGTACTTTCCACATATTCCAGTCTTAGGGTGGGAAGGGTCCTTGGACATCTTGTATATTGTTCTGCCTGTAGGCAGAACTATACCCATGCGCATACCCATAATATATCTTAACTTACTGTAACACACCCACATTCAGGTGTAAGGTCACCTTATCCTTATGCTTCCCATCACCTTGAACAGGAAGAAGGCTTTCATTCTGTGAGATATAGATAAAAGAAAAAATTAAAAAGAGAAAGGAGCTTTCTGTAGGACCCTCTGCTATTGATTTAGGTCTTATGACTTAAAACATGAGCCAACACAGATTTTCACTCACTCTTTTCACTATGGAGAAGATTTCTGATTTAATGGCTGACCACTTTCCAATATTCACTCAAAAGATTACATTTTTGAATTGGGAAAATTCAATTAGATTTATTGATGATCCCTAGCTTTGATTTGACCCTAGGGATATAGTATGTTCCCATCTCTTGTATTATTGTCCATTTAATTTGAAAGCAGCTAAGTTTTAATATGTTTGACTCCTTTAGCCTGTAACCAGACCTCCTTGGTATCTCAATGATGTCTGTTTTCTTATTAACCATCAGCTCTCCATCATTAGAGAAGCAGTTCCCTAGGAATTTAGGAGGATCATTTCTGAAGATAATGATACCTCTTTAACAATAGAGAGCAGGGGCCCTAGTCACTTACAATTATTTGAAATTCTGTGAATTGGCACTTTGATAGAAGCGCCTAAGGCACCAGCCACATAACACCAGAGCTGGCGGGTTCAAATCCGACCCAGGCCTGCCAAACAATGACAACTACAACCAAAAAATAGCTGGGCGTTGTGGTGGGCGCCTGTAGTCTCAGCTATTCCGGGAGGCTGAGGCAAGAGAATCACTTGAGCCCAGGAGTTGGAGGTTGCTGTGAGCTGTGACACTACAGCACTCTACCCAGGGTGACAGCTTGAGGCTCTGTCTAGAAGCAAAAAAAAAAAAGAAGAAATTCTGTGAAATCTTCAGCTTGCACAAAATATCTCCAAGTGCCCTGGTTCATTTTGCACATTAGCAAGTTGCTTCTCCATATATCTTCTAATTTTCTAATAGGAGATTTAGGTAATGTGATTTTTATCAGTGAAGTAGTTCCATCCACAGTGTGGATCAGATACTACTCAAATCTCCTTAGTAATGTTTGCCTAAATTAGTAGACAGATTCTTTGACCATGAAGCTACTGATCACATAGCAGCTAGGAGACATTGTTTTGGCTTCTGTCTAAATGCATTAGATGTTCAACATTCTCGTTCCTAAACAGGAGAGGCGAGCCTTGGAACGGAAAATGTCAGAAATGGAGGAAGAAATGAAGGTATGAAGAAATTTTTTTTTCTCTTTGTGCGCTTGTTTTCTGAATGCCTGCCAAGACTGGATATTTGAGCATAGGCCTGTCCCCTCCAGATTTCACTATAAACTCAATAACCTTGAGAAGAAGAGATAACATGTGAAGAAGAGCACCTCTACTCAGCCATTTCTTAGGCTCTGTCAGCTCACACAGTACTGACTGTAGCTACCTCTAAGGCCTTCTGGGAACAGATGCTGCCCTTGATTTAAGAGGAGATCTCAGCAGGGTGTAGACAAACTTGAGTTGAGTTTTTAAGGTTTTTTATGTTTTTTTGTTGTTGTTGTTTTGAAACAGAGTGTCGTCACTTTGATATCCTTCGTAGAGTGCTGTAGCATTATAGCTCACAGCAACCTCTAACTCTTAGGTTCAAGCAATCCTCTTGCCTCTCAGCCTCACAAGTATCTGGGACTACAGGCACCTGCCACAACACCCACCTAGTTTTTCTATTTTTGGTAGAGATGGAGTCTTGCTATTGAGCAGGCTGGTCTCAAATTCCTGAGCTCAAGCAATCCACGTGCCTCCACCTCCCAGAGTGCTAATAAGATTGTAGGTGTGAGCCACCTCATCTGACTACTTTTAAGGTTTGTTTTTTGTTTTTGCTTTTTTTTTTTTACTTTTAGGGTTTTTAAACAATGTCTTCACCCTCCAGAGCAATGTTTTCCAACCTTTTCTATCTCATGGCACACTTGAACCTATAGTTAAACTTCCATGACACATTTAAATTATGTTGATCCAAAAAAAAGGGTAAAAAAAATAAGAATTTAGGAGGATCATTTCTGCTTTGAACTTCTTTTGAAAATAATTTAATTAAGGGTGGGGTGCAGTAGCTCATGCCTATAATCTTAGCACTCTGGGAGGCCCAGGAGGGTGGATTCCTTGAACTCCAGAGTCAGAGACCACATCTCTACAGGCACCAGGTGTTGTAGAAGGTGCCTATAGTCCCATCAACTCGGGAGGCTGAGTCAAGAGGATTGCTTGAGCCCAAGACTTTGAGATTGGCATAAGGAAGATGGCACAGCACTCTATCTAGGGTGACAAAGTAAAACTCTGTCTCAAGAAAAAGAAGAAAGAAAGAAAAGAATTTAATTAATGATCTTTAAAATTTTTCATAGCACACCAGTGTGCCACGGTACACTGGTTGAAAATCACGGTCCAGGCTCGGCGCCTATAGCTCAACCGGCTAGGGCGCCAGCCACGTACACCTAAGGTGGCGGGTTCGAATCCCCAGCCCGGACCCGCCAAACAACAATGATGTCTGCAACCAAAAAATGGCCGGGTGTTGTGGCGGGCGCCTGTGGTCCTAGCTACTTGGGAGGCGGAGGCAGGAGACTCGCTTGAGCCCAGGAGTTGGAGGTTGCTGTGAGCTGTAATGCCATGGCACTCTACCCAGGGGGACAGCTTGAGGCTCTGTCTCAAAAAAAAAAAAAAAAAAGAAAATCACGGTCCAGACTCTGAATGATAAGGCTAGAACAGGTTTTCCAGCTCTACAGAGCCTCCCATTAGGTGCCTGGGGAAGCCTGATACTTTCTTCCCTGATTTCCTCCCCAGCCTAGCCTTCAGATTGAGTCATTCTGCAGTAGAATGAAAGTTGTTTGTTTTTTTTTTTTAATTGAATGGTAACTGTACATTAATGCACTTCTGGGGTACAGTGTGGTTTTCACACACAATCTGAAACACTTCCATCAAACTGTTTAACATAGCCATCATGTCATTTTCTGAGTTATTGTTTTAAAACATTCACATTCTACTCTTAGAAAGATTCACTTGTACCCTTGTAGAATGAAAGTTTATTCACATATCGATATTATGCCCCAGTCCATTTCCCCTGAAATGTTCAGGAATGCTTGGCACTCCTCCACTAGAGTAAGCTCATGCCACCAGACACTCTTCACAGGTGACTGCTTTCTTCTTTTCCCTCTCAGTGACAATCACTTCTAGCCACTTTAATAGACAGCTGCCATCCTGAGCAGTTTCAGGTGCTAAGAACTGGCAGTCCATCCAGGAGACAGTTTGCTGCTGTGGCAGGAGGACTTAACAGAGCTGGTCAGGGTAGCCACGAGGGTATGATTTGGGGGTATCTAATCCATGCAATTCATGTTACCACATCCCCACAATCACTTAGCATTTGTTGGTTTTTTTTCCTCTTTCTTCAGGGATCTTATTTTACTATATATATCATGCTTAAGCATTCATCTAGTGAAACATAGGTTTCTTTAGCTGCGAAACAGAGGCACTGAGACAGTATTAGGCAGATCCCCAAGTGTCTTTCTACGAGCAACATCTGTAATATGCAATTGGAGCACTTTGGAAGAGGCATTGATTGTTCCACTGGCCTAAAAAGGTTGATAATTTACTGGAGAGAAAAAAACAAAAGCTTTTTAAGACCTGAAAAGGTGGCACGGTACCCACAACCTGTTGGTTTGGTTGCCAGCCACATACACCAGGGCTGATGGGTTTGAACCCAGCCCAGGCCTGCTAAACAACAACAAAAAAAAAGATAGCCAGGTATTGTGGTGGCCGGCCTGTAGTCCAGCCTCTAGGGAGGCTGAGGCAAGAGAATCACTTGGGCCCAAGAGTTTGAGGTTGCTGTGAGCTGTGATACCATGGCACTCTACCGAGGGCAACAAAGTGAGACTCTATCTCAAAAAAAATTTTAAAGGACCTGAAAAGGTCATAGTTTATGTAAGATCTGGTGCTCATATCCTGTTGCTCTTTGTAATTCCAGAATGAAGGAGAAAAGCAGGCCCTGCCCCCGCATTCCCTATTCACCATCTGAAGGCTGGTAATATTCACATAGAATTCCAAGCAATGCCTGCTTATATCTCAAGCTGTTTAAATCCTTCAAGTTGATTCAAAGCAGCAAGAAGTAGAAATAAGTATTGATCCTCCTGAGATGATGTAAAAGTATGCCCAAACATCACTGAATGTCTCTATCTTCTAGGCCAGTGGTTCTCAACCTTATTAACGCCACAGCCCTTTAATACAGTCCCTGTGGGTCACCACCCACAGGTTGAGAACCGCTGTTCTAGACCCATGTCACTTACCACACAGAAGCATTCTCTTTGTCTACAGCAGTGATTCTCAACCTTCCTAAAGCCACGGCCCTTTAATACAGTTCCTGTGGGTCTCGACTCACAGGTTGAGAACTGCTGCTCTGTAGCCTCCTGTCATGGAGTTCTGTGTCACATACAGGCCCACATACAAAGAAGCATAAAGTGCCCAAATTGGAAAAATTGAGATTCTTTTTGTATTTCTATTCCAGTTCTAAATTGGTGAGTACAGAAGCCCCTGCAGTGGTTCTAGTTGCTCTCAATGCTATGGGTTGAGACAGGTTTACTCTTTATCCTATCAGGCTGTGATTTCCTAAACTAAATCATGAGTTGATCTAGTTTCCTCAGTTGAAATTACAAAACATGAAAATGTTTGCTCTCCAAGCCATACACTGTTTGCCAAAAACTCTGAAATCAGTTGTTTACATTATCCTGTGGAGCCAGATCAGACTATTTACTTCCCCAAGCCAATAGATAAGCTGCTTTGAGACTAAATTTTTTTCTTTTTCTTTCTTTCTGTTTCACTCTCTCTCTCTCTTTTTTTTTTTTTTTTTTTGAGACAAATTCTTGCTCTGTCATCCATGTTGGAGCGCACGCAGTAGCATCCTCATAGCTCACTGCAACCTTGAACTCCTGGCCTTAAGCCATCCTCCCACCTCAGCCTCCTAAAGTGCTGGGATTAGGTGTGAGCCACCATGCCCAGCCTGATTTCTTTTAAGTTAAAATATCTGCTCAGTCAATTAGTTGCCACTATTCATTATGGATCACAAAGCCAAATGTAGAAGAAACACCTGCAAGCTCTGAAGCCCCCAAACACCCTTCAAATGAAAGCAGGTTTGTAGATTGTCTAGCACCCCCTAGAGGACTAATGAGGAAGAGCATCAGCCTCCCCAGTCATACCAATTTTATGTTTCTGCTTGTACCTTCTTTGAAGACAAAAACGTCAAATATACAGGTATAAATATTTTAAAATTTGTGTGGCTGGCCTGAAAGGAATCCCATAAAATGTATGTTTAACCCTCAAATTGTTCGTCCAGACTATAGTTTATGTGACCAACACCTAGAGGAATTAGTGGCTTAAATCTCTGTGTATTTGGTAGCCAGCCAACAATACAGGTAACTGTCTTGTCAAATCTGGAAGCCAGTAGAGCTTGGGGGCAGTGGTCTCCATGTTTGCTGTGTATTCAGTTTATACAGACAGTTCAGACTTCATTGGAGCAGGCAGTGGGATTGATCTCCAGTGAACCCTTGAAAATAGAGTAGATGGCTCAAGAACAGAAAGTGACTTCTGTGCCTATTTTTCTGACTCTACAAAGTATGAAAGCCAGGTGAAATGAGGGGACTATGAGATAGGCTAACCCAGATGTATGTGTGGCTCTATGGTTGCAAGATAGGTTGTGTCTTTCTGGCCTTTGCTTAGAAAGGTAAGTACTTAAAAATTCTCCCCAGGAGAAACTCCACTCTTTGGAACAGGATTATATGCCAGCTTCTAACAGGTCTGCATGTCAGTGTGAGCTTTACCAGGCCTGCACTTGGTCTTGGGATGTTCGTACATCAGACCTGATTACTACTGCATCCTCCATTCAGCATCAGCTTTCTTGCCAGACCTTCTCCCCTTTCTTTTCCAGGTCCTTGCATGAGTGGGACCCAATAGCCAATTCCTTTTTAGATTGGTCCTGATATTTTTATTTTACTTTGGAAATGTCACTTGCTGATCCTGCCCCGTAGTCCTGCCCTGTTCCATGTTCTCCTGTCCTCTCCTTGCCATGCCTTGTTTTCAATACTGCTTCCTACAAAACATTTCACCAGATTGTTTCCTGCCACTGTCCCTCATGCTGAAGACTTCCAAATTCTTCCACCTGATATGCTTGTACTCACATGTTAGACTGAGTTATTTCAGAGTTCATGTCTTTAATA